CTGCTTGCAACTGATCACTTCAGATAAACAAACCTCTAGAAGGACTCCCCCAGCACACAAAGGAAGTTGCCTTGCTTTGTTTAAGGGGAGATTAGCTCTCTCCATCTGACATAATAGATGGTAGATAAAATAACAAAAGGAAATACTTCTTTATGCAGTGAGAAATCAGATGACAATGCACTTTCAGAAGAGATCATGTGAGCAAACTCTTTGGGGCAAGAACTTTGTTTCCTTACTTGTCTATACAGGACCTAGCACATAACTGGGATTTGCATCTCACAACATACATCTACATAATATTAACAAATGGGTTACCAAATGAGGTTAAATAACAGTACCAAATTGTAATGCATTTAAAAATAAATAATCAAATATTCCTCCCACAGATCTGTAAAGGCTGTGCTGCATCAGTTAATTATTCAAACTCTACCAAACAGGAGCAGTGAAATAATGTTTATCTCTTAACAAGTTATTTTGCAGTTTGATGTAAAAGATCTGCTGATACACTATGCCTCACAGAAGGGCTCAATTAATATATTGTTTGCCTTCTAACACTAACTGCCAATAGATAACTGGGACAGTTGACCCCAACTGACCAAAAGGGATGTTCCATGCCACATGAGGTCCTGCTCATCAATAAAAGCTGGCAAAAAAAAGAGGGGCGGGGGGGACATTCATGGTTACAAAGTTTGTCTTCCCAAGGAATCACTGCACGTACTGAGGTCCTGGTTCCCAGGAAGTGGCTGGATGCCTGCTGATGGGAACTAGTGAATCAATTCCCCCTCTCACTTTGCTTACGTACATGAGCTTTGTTTTTCTTACTAAATTGCCTTTATCTCAACCCTCAAGCTTGTCCATCTATTTTCAACTTGTCCTGTTGAGGAGGCAGGGGAGAGAGCACGTGGGTGGGCATTGGGCAGCTGGCCACGGCCAACCCACCGCAGCAAGGAGAACCCACAGTATTTTATAATTCGAAGGCTTTGTCAGCCTATCACCATCCTGGAAATGGTTTCACGTTTTCTGGTACTCCTCCTGGACATCAAACCCATACCGCAGTGATTCCTCTCAGAAAGGTGGTCTGGGATAGACTCACCTATTTAGTGCCCATACAGTTATTTCCGAGTAATCAAAAATATCACTTATATCAGAAAACAGTAGCAGGTAATGATGCAATTTATGTATGTCTCCAGGTAGCACTTTCATCTGAAAAAAAAGGGGGGCAGGGCATTAAGAGACAAAGAAGACAGATGAATCAGTGGAGAAAAAACTATATGAAGCATGGAAAATCTGAAGATTTGATGTTTAGTATAATCAGTCTCCAGCTGGATGCACAGTTAATATCAAAACATAACACTAAGACACCACTTACTGCTACCTACATTAGCAAAATATCAACTCCCTGTGAGGTGATTCTCTCCAAAACCAATAAATTTCTTATGTATAAAAAGATAGCAGAGAGACAAAAAAAGTAAAATGCCTGCATGAAGTCATAAACAGAACAGGTGGAAACATCTTATAATTGGGAGACCAAACGACTTTCTTTAATTGGGGAACCACCTGGGCCACTTTCTGGATGGAGATGGAGTAATTTTTCAAAGCATGCACATTGTTAGTAGAAAGCAGAACCTCTCCTAAAACCTGAGGTTAAAAACCAAAGGGTATACAGCAACTGTGTTTCTTTTTTTGGAGTTGAATTTCAGCACAGTTTTTACTGTCTGCCAAGGTCCCCAATACCAGCACTTAGACCACAGTTTGCACCTTGCTGGCAGTCTTAACAGCTAAAACAGTGATTTAGTAGGTGTGATTCCTGACTTCTGTCACCCCTAGAAGTCTGTTGATCCAGGACAGAATGGACTCCTGCTGACAGAGATATATGGGGATTATATTTCTTATACTGTTTCTGCTGTGAATAAGAGTAGTTCAGCTCCTGTACATCCTTTTCAAAAGTACTATATTGTTTTTCAGAAAGAACTGTCACACTTTTCTGCCTTATGGGACTGAAGACTAAATTACAGTTTTATGGGCTAAGCCAATCTATGCAATTTTACTGGGATACAAAACAAGAAACAGTTTTCCAAAGTACTAAGAGCTCTGCTAAATTTTAGAAAATGTTATGTGTACTGTAAAGCACTTTAACAAACGGGCCCACACTACAGGTGTGCTGCTTTCTCTTTCCTGCACATTTTCCATGATTACTCCATCAATTATTTGGTGCTTCTGTGCATGTAACAACAGGTCTCCTTCTGAGAAGTTTTGTCTCATCAACAGGATATTTAGCTGTTATGTGGTATATTGTCCATTTGGAACAAATTCTGTTTAGACATCTTCAGCACTTTTGAAAAATTGTGGTAAAATATATATTTTTTTTTTCTTTTTTGGTAGCTAAACTGCAGGTTTATCCTGGTAAGTAATGATTCAGTTACCGTTACCTTACACACCGAGCTGTGTACATGCTTGTGAAAAGCTGCTGTTGAACTTTAAATGCTACTCTTTTAACAAGAAAATAATATTCAGGTGGGATATCTGAATTTATGTTTACCTTCTTAGATAAAGTTTAAAATATTAAAAATAAAGACATTTATCTTCTAGTTACTATGAAAAAGCTTAATTTATAAGGATTATTTTTAATATTTCCTCCTTCTTTGCAGGAGTTATACAGTTATAACTCTGCAATGCTTTAGTTAGTTTTGCAACATCTGTAAAACTGTCAACAGTAAGTAAAGTATGTTTGTTGTCTGTTTTTTTTTCCAAGATAAAGATATGGCTGACATCAATTGTTAAAAAAACACCTGCTTTAACAAAGAGTAAAAAAACCTCATATTTTTTGCTAAGTATAAAATACTATTAACAACAATGTACTTTCTCAAGGCATGGGGTGGCTCCTGACGTCATAAAACAAATTTGCTAGAAGGAGGACATCTCTGACTGAGCTATTGCACAGAGTGTAATAAGCATTCAAAACATCTGTTATTTCCCTACAAACAAAATGTGGGTATATTCAGTGTCCACACTGGATACAGTAAACTCAAATGTATCAGTGCGGCCCCAAAAAAAGGTAAACAGTTGAAGAGTGGGAGGAAAAGAAATCTGACACTGTAGTGGATCAGTCTCACCAGAATAAAATTTGCATTAAACAGTTGCTATGAAAGGAAAGGGCATGACTTTCAAGTTGATTAACAGTAGTAGCAGTTCTGAACTCAGCACAGATGAGGGTACCTGCATCTGGTACAACCGAACAAAGAATTCTGACCATAAATAATATCCAGTATTAACAATAAATTCCTCCATTAAGACCTAACAAACATTTGCTTACGACCATATTAACAGAAGAGGTTATTTCACTTTAGAAACATTTTGAAAAAGGCATGAAATACGGTGGTAAGCCATTAGGAATTAATAAACCTCCACACCCTTTTGAATCAGTAGGTGAAGTACAAAGCTGGGTAAGGGGCTTTTCTTGACAAGCAAATGTTAAAACACTGGATAAGGACCGACAACAATGAAAAGAACACAGCCATGAAACACCTTTCTGAAATGTTTTCAAGTGTTATTCACATGACTTTTTGGAGAAAGAAACTGGAAAAAGAAGAAAGAGACTGAAATCTTAAGAGTCTAGTAAGTACTAGTTACAGAAAAAAAAGAGTGATAGTAATGCAGTTAAAGTTGTTGTTGTACACCTCTCCTGCTGTTCCATCTACCCTTCCCCTGCTCCTCTGGGTCCCCTGATCGGTTCCATCCTAGGTTAGGAGCCTGAGGGGGTGACAACAATGACTTGTGAGCATTTGGGGTCCTTGGCCGGGAGAAGTATGATGTTCATGTTTATGATTTCTTCTTCCTCCTCTAGGATCCACTCGAGGTAATTTTTATCTTTGCTAACATGCTTTTCTACCTTTCTCTTTCTTCGTTGGTCTGCAGTTCCCATTCTACACCTGAATTTATGTTACCTTTTAGGTATTTCAGGTACTGTTTCTTTGTTATCCCCAAAACCAGTTTTGTCCAGCTCCAGGCCTGCATTTCGTTAACTGACCATGGGTAAGCCATGCAGAGCGTAAGGTCTCCAGTACCAAGCCCGTGCCCCTTCCCTCATCGCCCTGTGCCAACACTCCTCTGCGCTGCCTCCCAGGTCTTCACCTGCCCTGGGCCGCCGCTACCCTGCCAGGCCCGTGCGCCTCTACACCCTGTCTCCGCGGTTAGGGCGCCGGAGACCTCATTCCACGCAGACCAACAGCGATGCGAAACAATGGTTGCACCCCACAAACCAAAGTTAGCCAGAGACACCCGCTCCGCCGGCGAAATTGCTGCTACAGCTGGACCAAGTAAAAGAGGGGCAGGTGCCAGTCCCGGGGCCTAGAAAACGTGGGGTGGGGGGGGTGGCTGGCGGCGCAGTGCCGGCTGTGGCAGCGAGTGGCACGCGTGGGGGCGCACGCGTCGGGGGCCGGGAAGGCCGCGGGCCCCGCCAAGGGCGGCGGCACCGGCTGCCGCGGGGGTGCGGCCGGCGGGCAGGGCTTCAGCCCCGCGGGATTCCGCCGGAAAAGATACAGACTCCCCTCAGCACAGCCCCCCCCCCCCCTTTTTTTTTTTCCTTTTCTTTTTTTTAAACAAGGCGCCTCGGTGTGAAGTTTGATGTTCCTGCGCACGCGAAGAAAGGGCGACACACGTTTCCCACCTGCAAGGCCGGCCCTCAGTCCCGCTCCCCTTTTCCAGAGCGGCTGGGGAAGGGAGAGACCGGCCCCGCCGCACGCGTTACCGCTGCCGGCAGCCGCCGCCGGGACTGGAGCGAGTCCCCGAGCCCGAGCCCGAGCCCGGCCCCGGCCCCGGCCCCGGCCCCGCGGGCGCGCCCCACCGCCCCGCACCCTCAGCGACCCCCGCCGCCTACCGCCGCTCCCCCCTCCCGGAAACAGCGCTGCCGCAGCGGCGGCCTCCCATTGGCTCCTTGCCGTCACACCCTCCCGCCTCCTCAGTGCTGAGCGGGTGGCGATTGGCTGCCGGCGGCTGTCAGTCGGAGAGGGCGAGCTCCGCCGGTGCCCGGGCGGCGCTCTGGTGAGGCGGGCGCTGCTGCCGGGCGCCGCGGCGGCTGGTGCGGCTGCGGGCGGAGCAGTGATGCCGGCTGCGGGGCGGCGTACGGCAGCGGGAGCCCAGCGCGGAACGGTGTGCGCCCAGGCGGGCGAGGGCGGCGAGCGCGGCCGGTAAGGTCTTCCCGCGGGGAAGGTGGATGCCCACCTCCGTGCGCGTCCGTTACGCCTCGTGCTGGAGGGGCCGGCGGCAGCGCCGGGCAGCGGTACCAGCACGGGCGGATCGGTGGGCGGGCAGGATGCCCGGGGCGGCGGCGGGCCGCGACGCGCAGGGGTCGTGGGTGGGCGCGATGCTCCGCCGCCCCTTGCCGTGCCCTTCGGCGCGGCGGTCCCGGTGCTGCCCTGTCCCGGTCCCCGGGCGGGACCGGCGGCGCGGCGGGAACTTCGGTGCCGCCTCCCGGTTAGCGGCGGCCGGCGGTGCCCGCGGGTGCCGCGGCGGGGGGCGACACTAGCCCGCCGATCGGGTCTGGCGGAGGGGGCTGCGGCGCTGCCCTCTCCGCTCCGCTGTCGCCTGGGGAGGGCTGGGCGCGGGAGGGCGGCCGGAGCGCGGGGGCGGGAGGGGGGCCGCCGAACGGCGCCGCCGGCGAGGGGCTGCCGGTGGGGGGGGAGGGGGAGGAGGCTGGGCAGGGTCCCGCTTCCCTCAGGAGCGGGGAGCGGAGGCGGGCGGCGCGCGGGACTGCCCCGCGGCCCGGCTCGCGCGGGGAGCTCGCGCGCGCGTGGGGAACGCGGCAAACCGCCAGCGCGGGCGTGCGCGCGGCCCGGGCCCCGGTCGGTCGGTCGGTCGGCGGCGCTGGGAGTGAGCGGCTCGGCGGGGGGCGGGGGTTTTGAACTTCCCCTGGAGAAAGGATTTTACTCGAAGGTGGTCCCGGGCGCTCAGCCGGGCGCCTCGCGCGCGGGGGAAGCAAAAGCAGGCGGTGGTCTTGCTGCGGCCGCAGGCTGTGTCTTAAAGTTGTTAAAACAGTTCAAAGAAAAGTTATTTTAAAGTAAGCGTAACGGTGACGGTTGATATGTGACCACTAGCTGTTGGGAGGGAGGAATGCCGGAGATGAAATCCCCTTTATCTGCGCACACTCTTTTTCAATGTTCTTCAACCTGCTGTGCTTTTAGGGATAGAAGATGATATTGGAAGGCTTTGAAGTCTTGTCAAATCTTGTTAATTTAGAAAAAAATGGCCTTTAGATGCTCTCTATAGGTGTTAATGTAAACATTGAGAATCTTGATTATATAACATTTTAAGGAATCTTTAGGATTCTGCCAGACTTTGTGATGATGGACCTGATCGTTCACTAGGGAAATAAAAAGGAATTTTGACACTGATTCAGTAGGAAGCAAGACAGCATCCACAACTGACAGCTGAAGAGAAAATAGTTTCTGTTATCTGTTGATTATTTTGCTTGTGACAGGTTGGGCATTTTAAACATTAAGAAACATTGTCCACAGAAAACATAAAGAGTGTTTAATTTGATTATGGTTTTTCGTTCTTTTGTAGCTGTAAGCTTCTTCCCCTACTTTCTAGAAGTATATTGACTTGGTTTTCTCTTTCTTGATAGAGAGTATTCTGATACATTAATTCAGTTATAAGGACACATTTAATCACGTGATGCATAACATGCATTCAGAATTTTTTAAAATCATGTGGTAGATGGCAAGTTTGAATAACCAGTGTAAGCACTGTTGTTACAAATACATGCTCTGCTTTGGAGACCTGAAGCCTGGTTTCATAGCCGAGGGAAAGGCACTAACTAGTAAGTATAAAAGACTCGAGGTGTGGAATTTATAACTGTTACAGGTTAATATTGTTCCCTCCCTGCATACTTACCCACTAAATAACGTTTTTGACAGAACATAAATTGCTAATGAAATTTCAGTTTCTTGTACATCAGCCAATTCTGGATAGGTCCAGTGAATGTCCTAGTTGCATGCCAGTTTTTCAGGAACCTCATTTAGTTAACTTGAATCAACACATTCAGAGTATTTTAGGTTAATTTAGAGAGCAATCCTGACCCAAGTACATTGCGCACAGCCATGATGCAGTGTCTGAGATGCTCTCAGTTGTGCCAGTCTGCCTCATATGCCACCTGTGTTTTCTTTACATGTTTTTTTAGGCAAGAAAACCCTGAGATTTTGTGGTGGTTTGTGGCAGAGACCAGTAGAATTTTTGCAAAGATTACAGGCTGAAAACACCAGGGTTTTTTTTTCCCCTTGTAAGTGATGCCAAATTTTAATCTAAAAATCCAGTTTATGAATGGGTAAACTGTAGAACCTTCAGTACATGAGTAGTCTTTATTTGTGATACTCATTTCACTAGGATTGTTTTCAGAAAGAAGTGCATACAGCATAATGTATGCCACTGTATTTGCTACATATCTTATCTTTGTGTTAACTACTATTTTTCACAGAGTTCTTGGGAAACCTTTTGGAAAAGATAAAAATATTTCAATTGTCTATCTTCAGAAGGGTGCTCAATTTGGTGTTGATTTCTCTCTTCGTTAATAAGTAATGAACTTTTTTGGAGCAGGGAGTGTCCCACCACTAAAATGAATATAAATGTATTAACTATTTACTTGTTAAAAAAATACTCATCAGCTACAGACTTACTAATACTCATAATTATTATCATTATATAGTGTTCATACCTAGTTAAAGCTAGAGGAGAACACAGAAGTTTTAGAGATTGTTGGCTTGCTTTTCACAGTTTCCTTCTAAAAAAAAAAGAAAATGAGTCCATCTATATGCCTCCCAACTAAAAGGATGCTCATTAAAATAACAAAAAATCTTGGATTTTCCTAAGCTGCTTCTGTAGTAGTAATTTTTACAGGGAAGTATTGCTATATGCAATATAATAGGAAATCTGGAACTGAAGCAGTCAGTCCTGTCATGTTCTCCAACCTGCTGCCTATTTAGTTGCTTAGATAAAGATGGATACTAAAATATTGGGGTAATTTGCCATGAATAGTAGGAAAATTATTTCTTTTGATACAGCTAGGGATAACAACTGGCATGCTTTTTTAGAAACAAGTACAAATGTACATTTAGTTGAACTACTGAAGAATTGCAGAAGATCATAGAAAGATGAATGAATGATGTATCTCTTAGTTACATTAGGTCATACAAACGGTGCACTGATCTTTTTGGAAAAGCTAATGCAGTTTTTGAACTGCAGTTAAAATACTGACTTGTAGCTGTTAGCACTGTCTCCAGCAAACACAGCAACTGTAAACGCTGATGTATGGAAGCTCTGCAGAATCCAGATAAACAGAAGTATAAAATGCCACTGCATTCAAGTGTTCCCTTTGTCACTTACAGGCTTCAGATGTTTCCAAATGATGATTGTATCTGCTGCTGCCTAACATAGGCATATGTGAATGACCAAGATTGCTCTTGTTCAGCTCCTGTGTCTCCTGTGAATGCTTTCCAAGGAAGTTAACAAAAGATACTCTTAAACAGGACATGGGAATTCAGCTCCTGATGCTGAGGACACAGCTCTTCACCAGAGTAACAGAGGGAGAGAGGTGAAGATGGGCAAGTTATTTTTTGATAGGCAGGCAGGCATAAATTTTGGCAGAGCTGTGCAGACTGCAGGTGTGTTGGTGGCTGAGATCAGCTTTCTAGAGTTCATCAAAGAGAAGGAAAGGATGCACAAGGGTCTCTCTGAGCCTTGGGCCTGCTTGTGGGTAGTATCAATATAGAGATGAATCAAGGTGTGATGAAGAATTACAAATCTCATTTATAAACACACCCTTCTGTTATCACTACCTAAAATATAAAATTGCTAGGTTATTTTGCAGGTGTAGGGGGGGGATGGACACCCTTCTTTAATTTTTGTAGCTCTCAATTTAACCTCCCAATTTATTTGGAGTAATGTAAATATCTGCAATAGTTACTCATTAGGACTGTACTTTATTATTAATTTAATTAAATTAATTAAAGCGTATAATTTAATGCATAAATAAATGTATGATTTCATGTGTAACATAATGTATCACTACACATGTTTATGAAATACATAAGTATACATTCTTTCTTTCTTCTGAGTAACAAGAAGTTACCAAATACTGGAGAGGGAACTAATGGTTAAGAGAGAAGTGAATGAAGAATACACTATACAACTGAAACCATGTGATAATTCTGCTCAGCTATATTTATTCATTTCTATGGAGTGTTGCCAGCATGTCTTCTCCCTTTGCAGAAGGTGTTCTGTATTATCAGTAGCCTCAAAGCATTTCAGTTATAATATGCCTATTTCATGTATAAATACTTTCTGTAGAAGAGTGAAGAAAATACCCTATACATACCGGCATTTGCACTCATTTTTTTAAGACTTGCCATCCCAGTACCAGTAAGCTTTAACTCTTACTATCTTGTGAGACTTGCTGTAGTAAAAAGGTGAATGACTTGCGTGCCTAACCTTGCTTCCCTTGGAGCTGTTCTGCAGCTTTGCTGTTTGAGGGGCTGATGTTTGTTTCTTTTGTCCCTCAGCAGGTGGCTACATTTTCACTGAAATAGCTGATCCTGCTGTGGAACAACATCTGTGGCTTTGTGGGGGTCATACTGGCTGGAGTAATTCTAATATTTCCTTCTGGGTCTGACCCTTATTTTTGTTTGAAGATACAGTACTAATTTATCGCTTAACATATAATATCCTATGTTAGAATTTATACTGAAAGTGTGCTGTTATTCAAATCTGATCTGTATCTTTCACAGTTGTTAAGAAGCAGGGGTGTAACTTTTTTTTTTTTTTTTTTTTTTTTTTTTTCAAAGCTTAACAGAAGATACTAGAGAAAATTTAAGTTAAGAATATCAGAAAAGCTTTGTCAGATCAGACTAGTGGGCCTTCATACTCAGGGTTCGGTCTCCAAAAGTGATGTTAAGGGGTGCTATATAGGGGCTGTGCACAAACCTAACCACTTTACATATCTGTTCCCTGGTACTCTCCCAGCATACTTAGTTTTCATATTAGGGGTGGTAGGTATATATCTGTTCGGGGTTTTTAGAGCCTGTTTGTGGACCTGCCAACCAATAACTTGTCTTTTTCAAACTTGCTGATGCTTGCTATTTTTGCAATCTCGTGTGGTGGCAAGTTCCAGAAGCTTACTGCTAGCTTTGTAAAGAAG